GTGTCAGATTTTGTTCTTTTTCTTTTCAGAGGACTGAACCACTGTTGTAACGAGTTTTGTTAACAGAGTGCAGCTTGGTTTTTTTTTTTTTTTTTTGCTAGGTACGATTGTAGAACTCGAGATTTTTGTGCACTTCTGAGTCACGGTTTGTCAGCTGTTTTAAATTTTCAAGCAGTGTACTCTCATCAGCGATATCGGATATATCTGTACGTAGACTAACAGCATTCCAGCAGTGTTTCGCCTGCTACCATCTTGATAAGGAGCAGCAATTGTCAACCTGTTTTGACCTATTTTTCTATATAGTTTTCTAGTCGCGTCCACATTCAATCATTTCTTTTGATCTCTGGTATGGGGATACTTTGAGTCGGAAGTTGTGTCATCCAATTCCACAGGCGTGGCAAACTGCTAGTATTATACACTATGCGGGAAGCAAATGGGCGTGTTGGTTTTTTTGTTGTGGTTTAAAATTTTATTCTTCTGCTGTTTTATCCTGGTAAACTCTACCGCAAGAAATTAAAGTATATATAATATTTCTTACCGTCCCGGAGACTCTGCATTATTTTTTATGCACCTGGGGTTTCTGTCAATCTTGTTGTAGGGCACTGGTAAACCTCTTTCTGTGACGAATTACGGTTGCTAAGATGAGTCGGAAATCAGCACACAGCTTTAAGGTTTCTTTAATACGGGAAATTTTGAAAGATGGGTTACGTGCGGAGGTGCAGTACTAACTTGGTTTAGGCTGGGATTTCGTGAATTTTGGATATGAGCTTAGTTTGATTGGGTGTAAATTTGAGAAAAACAGAAAGTACAGGAGATTTTTTATTTAAGTAACCTTCCTACGGAACGCGCAAGATAGTGCTTCGAAGTACTTCCAGGATACTGAAATATTGAAAAGTTTTTGTGGTTTCTCTTCCTTTCACAGTGGACTTCTAAAGGCTCAACAGTTTAAGAAATTGTTTTTAAGCAGGGATACAAAAACTTTTGATCGGTGAAGCACTATCCACAAGTTTTCCTGCGTTGCCTTCTCATAAGCAATGATTGCTGCACATCGCAGCATGTTTTGCACGGTATGTAACTATGTCGCCAGAATCCAAAAGTTGAAAAAAAATTAACAAACCTACTTTTGCAAAAGTGAGTTTCGGTTTTTACTCAAAAGTACCGAACTGAAAGTTTCTTTCTGATACAATCCTTTCTTTTCAATTTTGAGTACCATTTGTAACAAAGGGTTTGCATAATTTTTGCATAATTTGTTTGAAATTCTTAATCTCAAGAATTAGATGTGCACTTTTTAAAGTTTTAATGTGTTAATCAAATCTAAAAGATTTTTTTTGTTTGGTTAAAAAAATTGAGGTAATAAAGGTCACTTATTATCGGTTGAGCAGCATCCACAAAATTTTTCGTAGTTTATGCTGTTCCGTTTTCTTCGCAAGTTAAACAATTGTGGAAGCCGAGATTGACTAAAAACTAGAGTTGAAATGGGAATAATCAATGAATACTAAGAATGGTCTGCAGATCAAGGCAGCAGAACATTTTCTGGCAATACCTACTTCGCACACATTTTGAAACTGCTCGAACACACTATGCAATTTTGTAGCTTAAAGTTAGACGGTAATTCTGGTTATCTTTTTTGATCTGTCCGCTTTTTTCGATTTTAAAAGATAGTTTACCAGCGAAGAAAGATCAATACATGCAGTTTAAGGCTGAAGAAATCTTGTTGGAAAATATCAGATTTCACTGCTTTCTGTATTTATGACTGCTTTTTTCATATGCATTTTTATTCTGAATATAACGTCAAAGTTTGTTTTTGACCGGAACGGATGCAGAAATACATGGTTTCATCATGAATTATAAAGATTCAAGTGCTCTGCGTAAATTACGCAAGGTGTCAGAGCCAGAGAAAAAACTTGTGAAAAAATTCAGTGAAATGGAGGCAAGCAAATTCAGATCGAAATTACCATAAAACTTTGAGCTTTTTTAACAGATAAAAAGAATGCACATTACTTATTCAATTTTGTAGTGTAGAAAAACTGTCAGAAATTGTGCAGGCATGTCAAGTTTTTTTTTAATCCCTAATCTGAGTTGAATACGGCAAAACAGTATCAAAACTTGTAGAGTTCGTTTCACTCTTTGAAAACGATATATAGCACCTCTACTAATTTTAAAGCAGAAAAAAATTTGGCAGGTACCAACTAGAAATTTGAATATTTCAAACAGAAGAAGCAACGTATGATTAATAGTGAATTTACACTCGCCCCGTGTAACTTTTTTTGGCAGCAAGTGAAAAAGATTTAAAAGAAAGAGCGGTGCGAAACAAAAAGGCTGAATTCAATATTCTTCAATTGAAATCGGCATATAAATGTTTCAACAATGCATAAAATTCAAAAATTTGTTGAATCTCGAATTATAGACATACAATTACGTATTATATGACTTGTCAAGAAACTCCATGTCAACGATTGTTGTACTCAATTAAAGTAAGTCTCAACTAAATAAAAGTTCTTTAGCTCACAAACATCACATTGTTGTAAAATTTACATAACATAGCGTTTGGAAATAGCAAGTTGCCCCGAAAAAAATTGGAAAAAATTTACTCCGAGCCGTTAGCGGAAACGTATTCAGTAATAGTCAGAGAAATCTTAACCCTTGAATAAACACCACTTAATTTGAAAGGAGGAATATTGGAACGTTATAACTGTATCAAGGTTAAGCCTACAAAATGTATAACCTTATTCCACTTCAGCACATTTCAAGTATCGAATATTCAATCTAATTAATGCTTTCAACCAGTAATAAATTAGCCTGTAGCCATTCCAGTCAGCCTCTTTTCATAACCGATTCCCACACTTCCAAGTATTTAATATTGAGTAAAACGAAAATTTTCTAGGCCTTGATAATGTATAAGCAGGATTACTTATTATATGTTAAACCAGAAAGAAAAACATGATTGTACTGACGCAGCAATGATACTAGATTCCGAAATATCCATCATGCTTAAAATGACTAATCAAGAAACTTAAAAAATGTTGCCTCATAACAGCACTAAGACCCATGGAAAGAAGTAACGTACTTTTGACTAAATTTGGTTGGAAAAGCGAGAAGGACTTGTTTGTGTTACTAACTAGATGGACAGCCATCAAATAACTTATCTGTGTCAATTAAAGATTTCGCTGCAAGTGCAACAACCAGCGCTGCACCTCACCAAGACACTTTCGTTTGTCTTCATGTGGAATAACACGGTTTTTTTTCAGCGTACAAAGTTCCCCGGTACACGAATAATGCTCATGTCTTCTTTAACATCACGGGCCTTTGAAGCTTTTAATGATTTCACAAAACGATAAATTCAGTGTGAAAAGTATACTTAAAACTGTACCAATAGCTACTGGAAACTTGCAAAAGATCAGGTCTCTTAAATAAAAAATTATTAGAAAAGTAAGTCTTGTATTCAGGTAGGAGAAAAATGCACGTATTATGCAAAAAAACACCAAGTAGACAAAATTTTTTTGTAAAGCAGTGATTTAACAACATTTCCGACATTTAACATGGTCTAATTTACATGAATCGAACATATGCGTTCCAATTAGGCCCTCCTATAAAAAAGGATAAGCAAAACAGTTTTTAGAAACTTTTCTGCTGTCAGAAAAAGACAAAGAAACCAGACTTATAAAAAGATTATTCTCGAAGCTTTTTCTTCAGCAGATGCTTATTCAAAAATCTTCAAGTTTTTTTTCTTTAATTCATTGCAAAAATTTCAATTTCTATAAGAGGGCAGCCAATAATTATACATAAAATGATATCTAGGATTTCGTAACGTCTCCACGTCACAGTACTTTATGCAGACCTCGCAGACTAATCTTCTAGGCATAAACGAATAATGAGAAAATAAAGAATATAAAAAACTGCGCCTATTAAAAATTGCATTATCCTGTTGAAGACACTTCAACAACATTTTGCTGCACACATAATATCACATCTTCAAAACTTTTTCGAAATATCGTTAAAGATTTTTGTTTACTCACTCACTTTTTGCAGCTGATTACGAGTTACGCTTTTTTTAGGAAACATCAACAGAGAGACATTGCGGAAACCGAAGAGAATCAAAAGACGTAAGGCAAGAAGAATATTGCAGCTGTCACAAACTTATTTTCAATATATAGAATAACTTCAACTATTGCTCATAAGCTCATATGAGACATAAATCATTGACTGTTTCTTAGGGTTTATATATAAATGGTTTACAATCCTGTTGCAACTATACGTGGAAGTTTACACCAACGAACTACATGAAACTTTCGACGACTAGACGAAGACGAATTAGATAACCAAACCTAACTGAGTATATTCTGAAAAACTGACTCCATTTTTAAAAGCCCCATTAGCTAGATGACGAACGAAAGCAAAGAGGAAGATTTTGCTAAATATCAGGCGTCTCGGTAGAGAATTTGGATAATTTTTAGACGTCTCCAAAATAATTAATTTTCATTACTTTCTA